AGAATGCAAGAAAGAGATTTGGATCATATCTGAAGACCGTCCTCGATCCTCTCAGTTATAATCTTCAAAATATTCACGAGAAGAACACGGTGAAACAAAAGAATGTCTCCGGACAAGAATCGAGTGCCACCCACCGTGTACGAAATGTTGGAAGAGTACAAAGGGAACGATTCGAAAAATCGTAGATTAGCAGAGACAGACGACTTCTTGGCAGCTGACGAAAATTATCGTAGCAGTAAAGTCGAATATGTTCCTCGTATCACGTGGCCAGATCTGATTGCGTTACTTTTCGTTCACGTAGGCTGCATTTACGGATTGTATCTGATTTTCACGGGTGCCAAGCTTCTCACCACGATATGGGGTAAGTGTTGAATTGAAATTACGTTTATTCGTGGTTTGTTTTCTCAAATTGTGTATCTTCATAAAAATCTAAAAATCCTTATAAAATAACGAATTTTGACCTGAATGAATAAAAAAATCCTGGAAAATTTTACTATGCCTAAAATGATAGAAAGTTACTTAATTATGTTTTATCTGAAAGTGATTTAATCTACAAAGCTCTTAAAATACTATCTTTCTAATAGCTTCTTCTTATATAATGTAAAAATAAATATTATATTTTTATCTTTAACACAAAACTATATAAGACTAGAAGATCGTGAATGATAAAAGTTGAAACGAAACAGATGTAAAGTGTATAGTATGAGAAACGATAAACGATACTTTGTCGGATAATAAAATACTATGAATGAAGTAGTCGATATTACTACGCCCACGATTTTATTTCTTTTAATATGTCACAACAATAATGGAAATTCAAGTCCTTATCTCTTTGGATTTTTATCTAATCCGATTGTTTCGTTTCTTCACGTTTAAAAATCAGAATCTGAAGTGAATAACTATTGTGTCACTACGTGTTGTGTATTGAAGAGTAATACGAAAAATTCCACGAAGCACTTTTAACAATCAAGTGTTCATTTCGGATCGAGCGAATCGATCGACGAGGAGAATAAATGAATACATATTATCGACCGTCGATTGTTTCAAGTACAGTTTTTTGATTCTGTGTCGATTTGAATTGCAATTTTCGAAGCCTCAGAAACTGCTGTTCTAACAAAAGCAAACGTTTGCCTTTGTCGTGATGATAATCAGAGGAATAAAGCACCATTCGGAACTTAAGCAAAATTCCTTCAATCTCTTCTAAATAATATTCTTGTTTTTTTATCTATGATTTTTAATTGCAACAGAAGGATATACTTTCTCTATAATTACAGGCTAAATAATATTTCCATGTCTTGAAAACGAGAGCCACGATAGAAGCGAATTCCAGGACCATTTCCTGCATTGTTAATTTACGACGCTGTTACCGTGATCGATACTTGAGAAATTAGTTTTTAATCAAAATTTGACACAATCGAGACAACGATAAAGCAATCGTGCGTGCAAAACACGTGGAACGAGGCTCGATCGGTTTGCGCGATAGTTAAAAACAGTAGAAACAAAGTGAAATCTAATCCATCTGCACATAAATAAATCTAATAAAAGTTCTAATTTTAAAAAAAATCTATCCTTAGAATTGGAATCGTTTCATTGCAGCGTTCGTGATTACGTACACTTCCGGATTCGGCATAACCGCGGGAGCGCATAGACTATGGTCTCACAGAGCGTACAAAGCGAAATGGCCCCTCCGATTACTATTGATATTTCTGTTCACCATAACTGGGCAAGTTCGTAATTTTCTCTTCAAATCATTTTGTAATCTCTAACTCTTCAGAAGCTTGACTTCTCTACTCAAGGAATTTAATTCTTCATCATTTCGTTGACTCCTCCTAAAGAATTAAATTTCTGAGAGATTGATTTCCTGAACGATTAACTTGAATTAACATTAACATTAGCAACAGGCTAAACTTTTTATAATAAATCCCTAGAAAATTCCAGTAACTGTCGTTTACTAACATTGTTGAAAATTCGAGAATTTCTAAACGAAAACACTGTCCGACTGGTCTGCAGAAACACGTGTACGCGTGGGCACTGGACCACAGAGTGCATCACAAATACAGCGAAACCGACGCGGACCCTCACAACGCGAAGAGAGGTTTCTTTTTCGCCCACGTGGGTTGGCTTTTCACGACACCGCATCCTGACGTTGTCTCGAAGCGGAAAGTGGTGGACATGAGCGATTTGGAAGCTGATCTAATCGTCATGTGGCAGAAAAGGTATAGAGAAATCGTAAGAATGAAATTTCAGTAACCTCTTTCGATGATTAAATCGTCACTCGGACGAGATATGTATATATTCGTTCGCAGATTTTACGTTCCTCTGTTCGCTCTTCTAACCATCGGGCTTCCGGTCGCCGTGCCATGTTATTTCTGGTCAGAATCATTTTGGACGTCCTTCTGGGTGAGCTTCAACTTTCGCTTCTGCATCACACTGAACATAGCCTTCTTTGTGAATAGCGTGGCACACATGTGGGGTCAACGACCATATGATAAGTAAGTAGACAACTGTTAATGAATAAAACACACCGTCAATTCTCAAAGCATTCTGAACAGTCACTCATTCCTTTTTTTAAGAAAATCAAAAAAGAAAAAAAAAATCGAAAACATTTAATCAGTGATTGTACAACGTTACTTTTACTTTGAAGATTTCTTTCTTGAAATCGTGAAAATTCCCCATACAGTTCAGAGAGAGAGAGAGAGAGAGAGAATTATTAATTTAATGTCTTCTGTGTCATTTCAAGTTTGGAAGCAACATCGTGAGCTTGTAGCTTCTAAGGTCGAACAATTCTTGCGATAAATTTGTAATTTCTACTATTTTCATTTAATTTCTCAAATCTCGTTAATTCGTTAGTTCGAATGATATCACTCGAAAAAATTCTCCACGTGTTTCAGATACATCTCTCCAGTGGAGAACGTAGCGGTTTCGATCGCGGCTCTGGGCGAGGGTTGGCACAACTTCCACCACGTGTTCCCGTGGGATTATAAAACTGGAGAGCTGGGGAACTACACGTTCAATTTGACAACTGGCTTCATCGACGCTTTCGCGAGCATCGGTTGGGCCTACGATCGCAAATACGTCTCGCCGGCGATGGTTCGTCGCAGAGCGAACAGATCTGGCGATGGCAGCCATGTTTGGGGCTACGGTGATGCAGACATCCCGTCCGAGGATCTTCAAGAACTGAAATGCATGGACAAAAAGAAATAGTGACACTCGTGATCGACTCGTCCATCTTGTGCTCCTTCCATTTTTTTTTTTTTTTTTTTGTAAAAATATGAATAATTATAATACCCATAGAGCCTGATCATCAAGTGCGACATTTTTCTGCTCAGATTCATCAGTCGTGAGTCTTAGGTCAAGAAACTCGCATTTCGCCTCTTTCTGAACGATCAAACTTGATCGAAATATTCAATCGATATGAGCTTCTCGAAATAATGCGTAACTTGAGAAACTTTCATAAGTTATTGTTAAACTTGTTATTGATTTTATCAGTTACGACAAGCTTTGATGGCAGCATACAAAAATTCTAAAAGATAACTTTCGAAGGGTTTTAAAAGAAGTGTCTACACTAAATCGTAAATGATATGAAACATGCACATATTTAAATGTTGTATTTAAGATTGTATTTGATTGTCATGTCAGAAAATTGATGTAAATATTCAATTTCTTTTCTTGGAATCATCCTAAGAATTTAATTTGAATTTCACAAGAATCTATTTTATATGTTCTAATTGAACCACTGCACTGTTAGAATCAAATGAAAAAAAAAAACAATAATAAAATTCATCTAAATAAATATAATTGTGAGGGATAAAATGTTTATGCGAACAAAAACTTTTCACTAATCTTAAACCAACAAGTTGTAAAACTCTCTTCTTTATTACACGTTCTTTTTCTTAATCATACGTCATTGTTCTTAATCAATCTGATGATCGTATTTAATTATTTACATTCTCCTTGGCTATTTTCCCATAATATTCTAAAAATTTCACTTAGTCAAAATTATTATTATCTCTTTCCTTAAACTCTTATGAAAGCCTGCAATAATACCTTCTCTGGCTAATTATAATATAGTTTCGATCATTAATAATTCCATCTGATAACAAAATTCACGCACAGACACTAAGATAATTCTTTTACAAGGCATGTCCAAACGTGATTAATATTAAACATCGTATCAAAAAGGCAACACGAATCATGAAGGATCGCGATCGAGTATCGAACGCCTGGTTAAACTCGTTCTCAAATTAAAAGGAAATGACAATGTGAAATCTTGAAGACTAATGGAATTCTACCAGAAGCCAAGAGGTCGATCGACGAGGCTTATTGTTAGCATTCGTTCAGGTAGTTCTTTTCCAACCATCTGAAAGCGCGTTTCGTAGCGTACGAGAACAGGTAAATTTCGCTTCTTCAAGTTTTTTAAATATTCTTCGATTTAAATGTTCTTAAGTTTGTCTGCGAAGATATCGATTCGACGTTCTGAATATATATTTGTCATCTCGTCTTTTCCTTTCCTTTGTCGAATTTTTGAAAATATACAATACTTCAAAACAGATAGAGTTCTGTGTTTCGGCTGTGTTTCGCCAAGCAACGAGTGTAATCTTCAATCTGTTGTTTCAAAACAGCAGGATGGCGGACGAGACGAAAGCAACGAAGAAACGGGAAATGAAATGGGCGGCCATTTTATGGTACATTTATATACACGTTCTTGGAGTGTACGCTATCTGGTTTTTGTTCACCTCGGCTAAATGGTTGACTGTGATCTACAGTAAGAATATATTCACATGTTTGATTAACCTTCAGTTTCACACAATGAAATTTGTGACGATAAAACGAAAAATCCAGTCGTTCAATTCTTTTTTAAAACGACAATTAAAAATTCCAGCGTTGTTCATAACGATTCTTGGCTGCCTCGGAGTGACAGCAGGAGCTCATAGATTATGGGCTCACAGTACGTACGAAGCCACAGGATTTCTCAGGCTTTTCCTCATGCTGTGTCACACCCTGGCAGGAGTGGTAAGTACATCTCAAAATCATAGTATTGACTGGAAAAAAAAATAACCACGCGTCTCTTGAGCCCTTGAAAAAAAAAAAAAAAAAAA